TATTCTAAATCTAAGTCAAATTCAGAGTTTTTTTGCTTCATCATAATCATAGTTGTTTTCAACATGTAATAAATTTTTATAATCACTAATATGAATCAAAAACACTTGATTGAGATAACTGGTGATGGTATCTTAGATTTACAAGTGAAGAATTATAATCAACAATTCTATAGTTACTGAGAGTGAAAACAGAATCCCTCCCCAATGTCTGAATAGTCAATACTTATGACAATTACATCAATTTTCTGTCACTCCATGATAATTAATTACATCAAAGAATATCAAATAAACTTCATTCATTTATTTATGACCAACATAGAACAATCAGTACTCACACTTCAAAATCTCACAGGTTCCTTGTGTCCTTCATGGAGGTATCCTTAGCTTTTGGCCTCCCGAGGTGCTACCTCTATAGTGTAAGACACAGATTTATCAAAAACCTTGTTAAAAATGCAGCCTTTCTGACCTACTACATTACATATTTCCTTTGATCAAGAATTTAGGTAATTCTATGTATATGTCAGTGTGGGACACATTGCCTTCCAAACAATTAAAAAATCTGTATATACATTTCATAATATTTCAAAAATACTTTATTAATATTATGGACATTATTTGATAAAATGAAATAACTTTCCTTTTCCTTTGAATTTTCTAGTATTCCCTGGTTCTATTTACAACAAGAGTAAAGGAGGAGACAGCATTTTTATATTTCATTGTATTGACCCTATTTTTTCTTTAGCACTTTAGATTTATTCTTAAATTCCATTCAAATTTAATATACTATCAACAAAAATATTTTGACTGTGTCAGCATGATACTTCTGCAGGGTATGCTGAATTTTGAAAAAAAAAACAAAGGGAATATTATCTTAGCAAACTTAAAACATGTATCACAAGATTGTTTTCTTCGGAACATTTAAAATATCAATGCAAGAAAATAATTGAAGAAAATGTAACTTGAAATTTTAGATTTTTAAAATTCAGCATACACATTAATTCAATATTGCATCAAGAATTTATAAATCCTAGAATATATTTGCATTTGCTTGTAAAAATAGATGTAGATTTACATTATCACAAAGTTCAGATATTCAAAGGAAAAGCAAATATTTATATTTATCTCAGAGAAAAAAAGTCAAGAATTTCACTGAATTTGAGTCTATTGTATCTTTCTGATGCAGTCTATTACTAAGACTGTAAATGCAATTTTATATCTCTAAATGTAAGATGTTTTATTTTATATCTTTTAAACCTTTTGTTTTGTGTCATTTTCAAGGGTTAGAGAATATAAGGGAGCATATTACCTGTAAAAGTAAGACTGGTGTTCTGTCTGCATTTTTATCCTTAGGCAAAAAGTTGACAAATGAACATGAATTTTGCCTCTGAGAGTTCCATAAGCCAGCATTGTTCTGACATTGCAAAGTGTTTACCACAAAATCCTCTGCATCCATCACCCAGGGCCAGTTTTTGCTTGATTCTAATTCCACTGACACTGAAATCAGAAGCTCTTTTTGAGTCATTTATCACACTTATTAAAATGTTCCATTGTAGATTAGAATAGCAATTCTCTATTATTTCAGAGTGCTGCCCAAGGGGCATTCTATGCAGCAAATCTTAATGCTTTATTGAAATAGTAGTTCAGTTTTAATAAATGATTCTTTGCAAAAGAACCTTGGTTTCAATTATGAAAGGTGATGTTAGCTTTTTAAATCTGGCATCTGAGCCCAAGATTATATAAATCTCTTAGTTTAAGATTGTACTTTTCTGCCCTAAATATTCCATCCTCAGTGTTCTTACAAGCACGTGTCAATTGGATTAATTACACTATTGTGCAAGGAATGTCTTTATAAATTCTCCTATTGGACTAGGGTCAAAGGAGCAACATATAATGAAGAACTCTGGAATTACAAATATATTTAGTGTGCGTAAGAAGTAAAGAAAAATTTTCCATGAGTAAAGAAGTATTTATACCTTACATATATCATTTCTGAATATCTGAATATAATTTCCTATTGACCCCACATGCTTTCACCCAAATCAAGATTTGTTACAACTTTTACAGAAACATTCAATACATCGCTGATCACTCAAAAACATTTTCTACTGCTTTTTCTCTCCCTCTCCTTTCCTCTCTCATGTTTGCTGTTTTCTCAGTCTGGGGGTGACATTATGAATGACAGCATCTATTTGACTTCTGACTAGTAAATGTATAAATATCATCTTCTACAAGCTACAATTCTTTTCATCTTCTATGAAGATTCAATAACTATGACTTTGAGGCAAGAGATACTCTTTTGAAAAAAAAAACAGAAACTGATTTGTAATTTAAAATAATGTGAAAGTACAGATAGAACAGATTTATGCTACTCCAATATTTGAAAAAACACAATACCAAGAATTTTTGTGTTCATTTTGCTTCTTCTTGTTGTGGTTTGTGTTTTAAGCAGTCATAGGTGGGGCTTTTTCAGAGGTGACTGGATCTAGAGTGTGTGACACTGGGACTGATTCATGGTTCAATGCTAGGACCTAGCACAAAGAATGATGGTGAGTGGTACTTGTCTAAGTACCTTGAGTAAGATATAAGGGATAGAAAGATCTGTGGATGGCCCTGGCTTGCTTTGCTATCTTCTCCCTGCCAAGTACTGTTTCTTCTCTGAAATGCCTTTGTGCCGTTCCACTCTGCCTTGGAGCTAACAGACGGACTGGAGCCTCTACAAACTCTGAGCTAACTAATCCTTCCCTTCTTTAACTTTGAGTGTTGGGTATTTTGTCTCATAAGACACTTCCTAAGACATTACAATGACTTAACTATAGCCGAAATAATTTACCCACAGTTTCCAAGTAAGAGAAAAAGCCAGAAACAAGCTTTAACCAAGAAGTATTGAAACCTATTTCTAACAGCAAATTGTGCTTTCTTCTCAACTTTGACATATTCCTTTCAATTATTATTAGGTCTTTTTAGCAAGGAAAATTGAGTTGAGAGACTGTATGTAAGTATTTCCTAAGTTCAGATCTGGACCAGTAACTATATAGCAATTTTGAATTCTAACCCAAAGATTTAAATTTCACAGCAACCTTAATTCTTTTCTCTGTCATCTGATAACTCTGAAAAAAAAAAAAACTTTATGGAAAACTTACCATGTCTAGATACAGCAAGGAAAATGACTAGGGAATAAATGTCTTATGCTAGAAAGTGTGGACAATGCTGGGTGGATAATTGCTGCACAAAAACATGACTCAAGTTTCCACAAGCAAAGTACAGCTTAAAGGACCATTTTATCCTTTCTTTTGTCATGACAATGGCCAAGTAGTAAGTGTTGTTTCCAGTAATAACCATCAGGAAATTATGACTCCATGCCTTACAAATGTGAAAGAAAAAAATAATCTTTATGCACAGCGCATTATTTTCTTTCCCAGAATAAATCATGGGGAACAGATCTAGAAATTGTCATAATGATTCCAAGAATTAGCACAGTTTCTCAGAAGAATATCCACCAGTGCTACAGCTCAATTCATAATAAAATGATGAGAAAATAGACATAGAATTCAATACTGAAATTCCTGTGCCATTAGACAGGATGAACTATATTTTCAGGCACCGTTCAGAAACCTGACTTTTGAGAGGCACGAGAGATTCCAAACCCTTGCACAATAATCACAAATATAAATATTAAGTCAATGTATAGTCCACTGGATGGTTAAAAGAAAATAACAAGACATATGATAGTTGATGTAAATGAATACTAGGCCCTACACATTGGGAACAATTATACATAATTTAATAACTATTGCATTTCCAGACCACTATAAGGAAAGAAAGGCTATTATTTACTCTTTTTAATGGACTATGTCTTTCCAGAGTTCTTTTATACAATAGTGAGTTTTATTATTGCTATTTTAATAAAGTGAATGAATTCCTTATTTAAAACCTCAATAGAAAGTAGCTTCAGTGTGTATTTATGTTTACTATTACATATGTCTAATTGAAACAGTGTTTTCCTTTTCTTTATAGTTGCATATACTCACGGCCCTCTCAGAGTATTTAATGATGGCATCTTTAGATCATAGCTACTAAACTAAGTATCTGAAGTAGGATAAGAGTTAAGGAAACATGATAATATGAAAAAAATTCTTCAAATCGAAGATGGATTCATGATATTGTTCTTGTAAATGCACGTTACAGAAATAATTCATGCTCTTTATATTTTGTTTTTGAATAAATAACCATTAAAAATCCAGCCATTATGTAATACAATTATTAAGAACCCATGAAGCTCTTCACATAGTAGGAAAATGTCTTTCTGCCTACATGGCCAAATTAATATCCATTAAAGTTTTATTTTGTTTGATTGTTTGTTGGTTTATGATAAGTAATAAGGTGCCATTAAAGAAAATGATTCATTAAATGTATATGATTTTTGAGAGGCCATTTTTTTCTTCTTGTTTCAAAATAAGCATGTACATCACACACAAAATATTCTCTTCCCACCTTTAGGTATCTACTTGCCTTTAAGGTACTAGAAAAATAAATGGGCTGAATCCCAACTCATTTAAACCATGCAAAATATGCATTTCTCAAGTTTTTTTCATGTATGAATATAGACTAGAAATACAGATATTTTTTGTTACTACTTTGCATAAAGGATAGGATTATGAAACAAAGTTTTGGAGTTTTATGTTCTGTTTAATGTTCTGTTTGGGGAAGATTTTTATTGAATTTTTTTTTTTTCCTTTTGCTAGTTTCCCAGATTCTTGGAGGGTAATCCATCAACATAACTAAGTGATATAGAAAGTTATTTTGTAAATAAAGGAAGTTTAAAAAATTTATGTAGCGAGTGAAATGTGGAAAGTTTGCTTTAGAAGTATTTTATATTTAGTGACCTTACTGTGTTCCTCCACCATTATGACTTGAAAATTCACACTAACACTTTTAGATAAAACTATTAAAGCTAAGTTCAATCTTCCCTTTGAATTTTGTGGTATTTTAAAACTACATGCCATGCTTCTTGGCCTTTTGGCTAAGATCAACCTTGGTATCTGTTCTTAAAATACCTGCCATCAATACTTTTACAGAAGTGATAATGAATGTTTTTACTGTTACATGTTTTGCTACAGATTAAAATATAAAATATGAATATGTTTATGTCGGTATCACCAGCAGATAGTGAACTTCGCCAAGAGACACAGAAAATTCAACTTAGTCATTTTGACTTTAATATAACTAACACATTATACCGCTGTTTAATTAACTTAATTTGCATGGAAGATAAGGTTTTTTTTTTTTTTTACAATGTTGCAACTTAACTGTTTAATCTTAAGTGAATGTCTTTACACAACAGAGAAAAAAATTGTATTTTGAGATATAGGATTTTCTAAAGGAAGTGATGGTGAATTTTCTATATAAAAATTTTAAGGAAGCAGGTTACCTGGTGTATGGATTGCCTATCACTCAAAATACTCTGAAACTATTAATAAAATATTATGATCATATAAATGAGTATATATGGCTTATATATTCAAAAATCTTCACTAAATTTTGACGCAGAAACCTGTGTTTGCCACCTGAGAGCTTCTCCTAATTCCATTGAATACTTAAGCAAACATTTTTCATCTCTTGTACTGTAACTTTCAGACAACGAATTTTCCAATGTCTTGAAATTTACAGATTGTCTATTTCTGCTGTCAGAGTCATACAATGAGTACTTTGTTGGATGGTATTTGCATGGCTCAAAGCATTAAATATTTTAAAAAATAATTATCATTCTTTCTTTTCAGATATCAGGAATCCAAGTGATCTCAGCCAAGAATGCCAGACTTTGGTTTTCTTTTTTCTCTACTGTTTCAATATGGGAATTATAAATTAATGAGATGAATTCAGTGCCAGCCTGGAATACAACAAAAACAACAAAAGATTAGTGAGAAATCGCCAACAGTTACAAAGAACCTAAGAAAATTTTATGCATATATGAAAGCGTGCAATGAGCATTATAAGAGAAATGACATCACAACGGAAATGTACCACTAGCTTGTAAATACTATTTTTGAAAAACATTTGAAAATTCTTTCTAAGTAAAATTTATTTTAATTTAAAAAACATTTTGTTTATTTTATATTGTTCAATATTTTACCTTTTAATATGAAATTATGAAAATATATCTGTCTTTTGAAATACACACACTTAATTTAATTTACATCTGTTAATAAATGCCCACATTGTAGTATTTTCACTTTAGGTGCCTTTTATTTTAAAATTTTTTGTTAGGCTATTATGCTTCAACAAAATTTTGTGAAAAACCTTGATTGTGAAAACATTATTATTATTTTCTCTGAAATAACAGAAAAACTGAATTGCCAAAATTGTAAATTAAGATGCAATTTATAACCTATTCATACATCACTTGCAACCTATAGTTAGACATTAGCAAATTTAGTTGTTTTTAGAAAGCATAACTTCACATGTACTTGTCAAATTTAGTATTATAAATTGTCGAGGTACAAAACCAGAATGGACATTCTTTAGCAATGTGTTACCTTGATTTCTAATCTGATATTTACATGTATGTTTAGACTTTTTATTAATTCCATATTCCCTGACCTAAAGGTTTGAAGCATACACGCAAATTATAGTCTTTCACTTATCTCAAAGTAAGCCTATTTTTCTCTTGGTCACTTTTTTCCTAATTCCTTGGCAAACAGTGCTGAGAATCAATGTAGTCTATAATTCCAATGCTCAAGCTTCCACTGTTTTCAGAACATTTGTTTGAGCTTTCCCAGTATTGACAAGCTTCCTTCCCACTGTCCAGCGCTAGTTAACTGCCTTCTGCACAGCACTCTCACTCCAGCTACAAACGTCATCTTTGTAAATGTACTTGGATTTGGTTCCCAGACTCATGGGCAAAACCTCCGCAGACAAATAACAGGTACTCCTGAGCCAGGTACAGAGTTCAAAGGGCTTACGCTGAGCTAGGTTCCACAGTGGTAACTTTTGATTCACCAGGCAAAAGCACATCTGGAAATTCACTGGGCTCCACTCCATAACTACGTCCAATTGGAAGATTATTTTTCCTAATTTTAAAGATGCAGGAAGGAAGATCAATGACATTATCAATTGCTGTCGGGTTTTTAAAATCTTATATAGAGTGGGGCAATACATTCCCTGAGCAGAGAAAGAGCAAAGTAGTACCACTGAAAATACCATTTCCAGTGATTTTATAAACAAAGCTGATTTTATAAACAGAGAGAGAGAGAGAGAGAGAGAGAGAGAGAGAGAGAGAGAGAGAGAGAGAGAGAACACTGGATCAGTGACAAATGAAAACGTAATATCTTCTGCAATTTTGTTAATTCTTGAAGAAAGACAATGGTAGTAGAAATTGCATCCTGCAAATGCTCGATTTAAAAGCAGAATTTTTACTTCTTTTCAAAAGGATTAGTCACAATTCATGTGAAATTTGCATTCTATATGTCAGTAATTTTAAGTTAAAATATGTGACTAATTACACTAAATTGATCTTAAGGAAAAAATATACTTGAATAACCAATTGATTTACTATTTCACAAACAATATCATGAGTTCATTTTTAAAAAGTGATGTCCATACAAGACAGGAGAATCCTGTAAAGATGAAAGGACTGTTTGAAGGGAAGAGTACAAATTTTATTCAGTAAGTTCTGTAGCAAAAATCTGAAGCACTAAATAAAAACTTAGTAGTTCAAAAGAGGAAGTGAAACCTAAAACCGTCACAAGGGGAATAACTTTGGCTCTGAGAGAAACTTTCACTTTAAGAAAAAGTCACTTTACCACAGAAAGCAATTTCCTAGTTTTAAAACTGCATGTCTAGTGTTGACATTAAACTAATATGTATTGATTCCTATCTCTCTGGTTGTACTACAGAATATTGATTCATATGGTAAGAAATTATTGGCACCCTTATCAGAGGGTTCCTGAAATTAATATTTTACATTTTCAAGAAAGCACTAATCTATTTGATCAGTAGATTAATATTCTAAGCATAAAATTCAAATTTTTGGAAAAAGGGTAGGGAGAGGAGACCTCCAGAGCATTATAGAATTTGTCTGCACATTACCTTTTTTTTTCTTTCTCTGCAACCTTTTGTCCTTTGTATCCTTACTGTGAATCTTCAGTGTTCTGTATATAAGTTGATAAACACTTGGCAATGATCATCAGAAAATTAAAATTATTTTTCTTATTGTATGATGGAAGTGTGACAGAGTATTCTTTCTTAATATGAAATGTCAGATTTTAATTGAAAGTCTAATTAAATAATTAAAAGTCTATTCTTGTGATAAGTATGGATAGTATTTTAGTTGAAAAAATTAGGATTTTTAAAAACTAGGACATTTCTCTAAAATTTGGCTAGTAAATGATAAAGGCAGCTTCTGAAATCAATGATTTGGCTATCAGTCGCTGAGTCCAAAGCAGGTCTTCTAGTGAAAACACAGATGCTAAAGCACTAAATAATTTTGGTTTGGTGGTAGTAATGACAATTATCAGTTTTACTTTCATTTTTAGTTAAAAAGAATGCCCATAAAATTTGTTTTGGACAAGATTTCATGAAATTATGAAGAATTATGGAGAGGGGAGGGAAAAGAAGAGCTCTTAACAAAAGCTAAACTAGTACTTTTTTGAAGGCCTTGTCTATGTTATTTGGAATATAATCTAATGTACATATTATTATAAAAGTTAATAAATATCAGTTAAGTGAATGGGTCTTAGAATTATAGGGTCCCTGAGACTTATAATTAATGGTACTCCTTCATAAGCATCGATGAAGTATTATTGTTATACATATGATTCCTTTCACAGGGCAAAAGTGAGTTTAATAAATCAGATTGTTTAATCGTAACAGTAGGTATTTGAAAGAGATATTCCATAGTTTGGGTTGGGTTTAATTTAACTAGTAATAAAAAACTCCTTCAAATCTCAGATGGGTTAATTAACACTGAAGAAAATAGAATTCCATTTCTTGAACCCAAATGTAAATCCGTGCAGTGACATCATATGCAATAGAATGAGAGTAGATGGAGTATATTAGAAATAACTCAGTAAAATTCACAATCTGAAAACAAAGCAAAGTGAGAATGAGAGATAAATCAGTAAGGTTTTTAGAGTAAAAACCAAATACCTCAGTAAGAAAGCATATCTTCAACTTGAAATTAACAATAAAAATTGCAGTGTTACTGTCTGACATGCCCTCTTTACTGCATAGCTCTACGCAGTGTCTCAGAGCCTCACTTACCCCTTGATGTCTTCCCACCTAGGCCGAATTATGAGCCCCCGCTTTTCTTGTACTTGAACAGATGAGTTCATTGCGTATCATTCTTGAGTTGGAATCCCTTCTGCGGTATCAAGTTTCCCCCTTGTACATCATCTTGCATCTTCCTTACCAACGTGTGCTGTATGTATGTTTAGCTAAAAGTCTTTTTATAGCTAAGCTCTGGTATCTTTCAGATCAGGCATCTTGTCTATAATTTTATAAGATGTTTTCATTCAAAACATTATTTTATTGTACATATTATGAGATACAGCATAATAGTTCAGTACATGTATGTAATGTGTGATAGTCCAATCAGGATATTTTAGCATTTTCATCTCTTTTAAATATTATCAATTCTTGATGTCGGAAAACTTGAGATTCCCCACTTGTAGTTTTTTATAAAATATGTAGAAAATTGTCATAAATTATACTATCATTTCTGTCCTACATTATGTTAAGTGAAATAAACCAGACAACAAAATACAAATACTATATGTTCCCTTTTACCTGTGAAAGAAAAAAGGTTGACTTCATAAAAATAGGTAATATTGGAATAGTCACTAGAGGTTAGAAAGATAAAAAAAAAAGGAGCATTGAGGGAAGGACTGCAAACTGGTACCAATTTATAATTATAGAGCAACAAGAAATATTAATGTTCTATACCAGAGTACGGTGATTACATTTTACAGTATTACGTGTCAGGTCCTCTGACTTCAGCAAAGTAAAGATAGATAAACAAGATAGTCACAGATAATAGTAATTATTAACAAGTAGTTAACTGTGTGCTAGAAAAAGTATATAGAAAGACAAATGATATACAGCTAATGACATAAAATCTAGTGTTTACAATGATTAAAAAGCATATAGATGAATGGAGAGGTAATTAAAATTGTGAATATTATGTAT